GCATGCCATTTTTCACACGCCAGCAGTTAGTAGATGGCTGAGACTGGACTGGACTTCTGTTCCATCCTAACACCTTCATCTCAACTGCATCCTCTGTGTCATCTCTTTGAAGGCAACAATGCCAAAGGCTGTCATTCTTTTTTTTTTTTTTTAAGCTGGGTCTCACTATACAGTTCAGGCAGGCCTTACATTCACTATGTAGCCCAGGCTGGCCTCCAACTGTCAGCGATCCTTCTGCCTTGCCTTCCAAGTGCAGAGATTACAGGTGTGTGCACCATACCCAGCTAAAATCTCCACATTTGCATGGCTCCCTGACTGCTTAGCCCCTTTGGAAATGGCACACTGTAGTGTTGACCTGTGAACTCCATCCTGTCCTGAGATGGCTGAGACTGGAGGGGTAATTGGTTTGTATTTCTGTCTAGAGATTTTTTTGGACCTCAGCAAAGGATCACAAATGACCTGTCTCTATGACAGTAACTCAGTTAAGTGAAATACATGTGAATAAACTGGCTAATGGCCAACAGGAGGCTTCCTTCAGTTATAGGCACCAGTGAGTCACATGGGCGATCATGCTGGTGTTCTAAGGGGGAAAGAAGCCGAGCTCTGGAACTTAAGAAGGGCACACAATTTTAGGGACCAGGAGAAAATATATTGGCACCTTAGAATTTAATCTAATTGCTAAAAGTTTTTCACTTATTATAAGCTTAATACTGGAGATGCCATGCTTTATTTATTTTTATTTTATAAATACAAATATTTTGTCTATTTTTTAGTGAAAATTACCTATAGGAGGAAAGTGACCAGCTTGCACTTGAGGAAAATGAAAACTGAGATAAATTTACACTTAGATCTAGCCTTGAAAACATACACACATACATAATTTTATTAATTTGTTTAATACATAAATGAAATATGATTTGAGCCAGATGTGATAGTGCATGCCTACAATCCTGGCACTGGGGACATTGAGGCAGGAGGATCATCACAAGCTTGTGGTCAGCCTGAGCTGTGTAGTGAGTTCAGTCCCAGCGTGAACTACATAGAAAAACCCTGTCTTGAAAAAACAAAACCAAAAATAAAAATATAGGTGATTTGATAACAATCACTAAATTGTAAGTTAATCACTCACTGAAGACAACTTTGGATCTAACACAGTCATTCTTCTTGTCTCAAGGGTCATTTAATAGGTATGACTTAGAACAAAGTGCATATTTTTTCCGGTCATGGTCCGCACTGCTCAGGCCGGGCACCATCCTATTCTCTTGCCCTTAGGAGTCTCCTCTTAGGCATAAGATCAGAAGCTGCCATAGCCTCAAAGCTATTTCTCCCTTCTCCTTAAGTCACACAGTCACAGGAACTCTGTGTCACCTGGGTGAGTTTTGGTCAGAAATCTGAGATCAGATCATCTTGAAAGTAAGGAAAGAGCCTTTCTCCAGAAAATGAGGAGGCATGGAGGAATCCTTTGGCTATGACTGAAAGTTTGGATTGACTGTCAAGATGTTAAACTCAAAAGCAGGATTCCAGGCTATAGTCAGGGTAGGTCTAGGTACTTATAGAAGGCATAATTTGTGTCCTGAAAAATCCAGTTGGACATGGGAGTGACCCATGCCACCAGCAAGGGCCCCAGTCCTTGGCCTCAAGTAGTGGTAGTGAAGTTGCACACCATGAGAGTGTGAGGCCTTGGTCCACCTACATGTAAGCCCTGGCCTAGTGCCTCAGCATGGGAGGCTATCCCAGAAGCTGAGTAAGTGTTCTGCTGGTTTCCTTTAGAAGAGGAGCTTGCTGGTAAGAAGGACGAGCAGGATGTGAATGGCACCTGCGATGGGGCTGCTGAAAGCTCTCACAGCCAAATTCTGAGTCGAGGTCTTAGTTTGGGCCGTGGTCTTGGTATGGGCTATGTTATGAGTTTGGGCTGTGGTTTTGATTTGGGCTGTGTTCTGAGTTTGGGCTGTGGTTTTTGTTTGGGATGTGTTCTCAGTTTGGGTCGAGGTCTCAGTTAGCGCTGTGTTCTCAGTTTGGGTTGAAGTCTTGGTTTGGGCTGTGCTCATGGTTGTAGCCATAGTCACAGTTGTGCTCAGGTTGTTGGTGGAAGTCCTGGTGGTTGAAGTGGTAGTTGTCACTGGAACAAACGAACAGTGTCAGAATCTCTTTTGAATGGTGGCTGGGCACTAGAAAAAGTGGCTAATTGGATAGATTTAGTTCAACAGTAAAATTCACTCAGCACCTCTCCAGTGCCAGGTCAGGTGTTCACAGAGAAAGGGGACAAGTGAGGGGACAGAACGTTAAGTCACACAAAGACACCCTTAAGGTCTATGTAGTCTTGTGAGAGAAGGGAGAGAGGCCTACCAAATTGGTACAACCTCTGGATTTAGTTTTGGCTTGGGGATGTCTTTAGGGCCTTAATATTAGATTGATTAGTGCAAATCTGATTCAGAATAGCACAATTTTATGTTCTTGCTAATTTCAAGGGCTTGTAAGAACTGAAAATCATCCAGTCCTGAGGACTGCCATTTCTGCTGTAAAGTTAATGGAAGGATGCCCTGTCCAGATCCCCACCTCTCTCTCTAGTTTGTGAGGCACCGGTCACTTTCACATGCAGGGATGTCTCCCAGCAACCTTGCTTGTCTGAGGTTACTTTGCAGAGAAGCAGAGAAAGCCAGGCATACAGTCCTGGAGCCTATCTGATCCTGGAAAAGGGGAGGCTGGCAGTGATGCCTGCAAGGGTTTGCGTGGACCTTAGAAGGGACCAGAAGGATGAGGAAGGGAAATGTCCAGTGATTCATCCAGGCTCAGGCAGCCTTCTGTATGCCTGGAGGGTGCCCTGTCTCCCAGCTTTTATTTGCATGTTCCATTCAGAAATGTCCTTGAGGCAGAAAATAACATCCCAGTCTTCCCAGACTGAAAGTTAGGAACAAAACAATTAAGAGTTTCATATAGTAATCCCACTAGGGGTGATCACTTGAAAATTTGTTGGAAATAATTATCCCTTTTGAGTACATTCTGTAATGCATGACTGCAGGAAAATAGGCATGTGCTAGATGTTCCTCTCAGTGTTTGTAGACACTCCTGTCAGTGTTTGGGGCATGCGAGGAAGTCGTGTCATCTGGACCCTTAGAGAAGACTAATAGCTCTTGTTCTTGGTTGAATCTTGTATTTAAAAACTTGATTAAAAATTATTTCTTTAGTTTTAAGAAAAGTGGGAAAAGGAATTAATGTGAAATTGGAGCCTGCAGTTTGTGGGTGGTCTTAGGTAAGAGCCTACCTTCCTGAACCTTATTTTTAAAATTTGTTTTAATACCTTCCAGGGAAGAGAAAAAGAAAGGAGCAGATAAGGGTAAAGAACGGTGAAAAGCCTCAGAAGAGTGTGAAGTTTGGGGCTAGAGCCTGTGAAAAGCCAGACAAAATTCCTGGTGACAGTGATAAGAATTAAGGACATTATTTGTATTTCTATGAGTCAACCCATTTTTTTGGTGCAACTCCTCACCCTTTACTCTCCTCCCCTTTAACATCCTTTGGTGAAAGTCTGTTATATCCAGTGAAGGATTTGTATGAGTGAGAGTTCTTTGTGGAAGCAGAGGAGAACGTTGATCTTCATGTTAATGTCTGGCTACTACTGAATAGAAACAGCTTGAATGAAGCTAAAGGTGCCCATGAAATCTTCTGAGGATTTGCAGAACTCTTGGGGAGGGGCTTTGGTCTCTACAGGGCATTGTGATGGGAGGTTGGGCAAATCTTATGTGGGTTCCAAGGTACTGGGTGACTTAATGGATATCCGAGCACTGCAGGATAAGAAAATGCTTTTTTCCTAGCTCATGCACAGAGTCATTGGGGAGGCTGATTGAGTTTACAGACAAATATGCAAATGGGCTACAAAAGAACTCACCTTTTCTTGTTAGATTCTGAGAGACAAACACAGCGGAGTTGTTCAAATCGATGAGGAAGATGCTGGAGGGCAAATTAGAGAGAGAGAGAGAGAGAGATGGTGAGGACCTCCTCCTCGGGGCTCTCCTTCCTGCTCACCTTTCTGCTCCCCTGGAATGTCCCACCCTCTTCACCCCTTGTGTGCTCACTATCTCTGGATTAGAAGATCATCAAATACAAGTGTGTTCTATACTGTACTGACTGAGACCCTCCGTGGTCTTACCTCCACACCACCTCTTCCTCTTCCCCTTCCCTCCAGCTTTACCACCTCAAGAGCCCCTAGGCTGGGCCACACCCCTGTCTGAGCCAGTCCCTCATTCAGAGCAGCTGTCCTGGCCCCTGGCACACCTGCTCCGAGACTCCCCGGTAACTCTCTCTAAGGTTGTTTCTCCCTCTGGTTACTACCCCACTCGGGGCTCTGGCCTGCACTGGATTGCCGCTGGACCCCACTGCTTGTCAGAGATGCCCGACGCATCGCGGGTGCTCAGTGCTCATCGAATGACCCATGCAGCTGGCTCTGTCATTGTTATAGCAGAGGGAGCAAGCTAATATCAGAGCCTTGTTTGTACTGTGGCATGACTAAGGAAGATCACTGTGCCGGTCAGTATGCTTGGCTGGCACACATGAAAGGACAGCAGCGAACATGGTCAGCTTGGCTCGAGCCTCAGGACCTTTGCACTGTCCTCAGAGAGACAGGTTTCAGGTCAGTGATCGGCTGATCTGTTAAGTTGTTGATCACAGTGATGACAGGAGAGAAAGTTAGGAGAAAGGTGAAAGAGTCCGCCCTTGCTGCGGAGAGCAGGGAGGCAAGGTGGTGCTTCCCCTCAGGGATTATTTCTGTGTCGGCCTTTCCAACTTCATTGTGGGCGGGACCTCAGGCATCCTGTTTCTGCCTTACTCAGCACAGTGCCCCCACAGTGGAGGTGTTGCTCCCTGTGCTCCTGCCCCTTGCTGATCGGGACCTTGAGTGTCCGTGTTCTGAGCTAGCAGAGAAGAGAGGTGTGTGAGTTAGGAGGGGTCTGGAAACCATGGCCAATGGTTTATGACCAGGACAGCTGTTATGGACAGAGGGACTGGCCCAGATGGGTGTGGCCCACCCTAGGGGGATCTGGGGTGGTAAAGCTGGAGGGACGGGGAGGGTGGGAGAGGTAGTGTGGCGGTAAGACCCTGGTAAACTGCAGTTTCTCTTTCACACTATCAGAGTTTCGTATTGCACCTGTCCTGCATGCCAAGCACAGGCTTTAGTGAAGCGAGAGGAGCAGCAAGTTCTCACCCTAAGTAGCGGTGGCTGGCTTGTAAGCAAGTGCTGTCCGCGTCAGGCTGCTAAGGCGCAGCTCCTTTGGATTCTGCTCTTGCATTTCATACTATAGGCATAACAGTGCCTCCTCCAGAGCCAGTTACATCTGACTAGGCCCAGAGTCTGGTGGCAGAGGGCAGGATGGCTGGACAGTATCACCATCTACATAACCCTCTGAGATTAGGCTGTGGACAGTAGCCACAACCTGACGGTTGGATCTGCCCTTTTGGTATAAAATGACATCATATCTAGAATCTAGTTTTAGTTTTCCTCCGTGAATGCAAAGCTGCAAAACCCAAAATAAAAATTTAAAAGTCTGAAGCAAAATCTGAAAAGTCCTTACTTCAGCCTGTCAGCGGTGTCCTTGGAGTTTAGAACACAATTTGCCTTGAGGAATGTGTCTTTAGCGCTAGTCAGGTGGTACAGAGCGCTGCCATTGCAGTCCTCATCTCCCTGGCAGAGGCCCACGGAGTTGTTGTCCTTGTCCACGAGTTGTAGGAGCACCATACTAAAATTGTCCCTCACAGGAACCCAAACTAGGAGGAAAGGGTAGGAAATCCATCAGCCATCTGTGCTGTGTGAGCTGAGGGGTAAGGGCAGAAGATAAACATCAAGCGTGAGGGCTGGGGAGACAGCTCAGGGGTCTAAGTGCCTGGCTGGCAAATGCAAGGACTCGGGTTCAATTCCCAGTACCACGTGCTGTGCCGAGCTGTGCCAGCTCTGAAACCAGATGTGGTGGTGCATGCCTGTTATCCCAGTGCAGGGGAGGCTGAGATAGGAGGATCACTGTGAGTCTGAGTTGCATAGCAAGATCCTGTACCAAACAAACAAATAAATGAATAAAAGAAAATTAAGTGTGAGAAGAGGTTACAAGGAGTGAGTACATACTGCATAGTCCTATCTTTGTAAAAGAAGTGAAAGGATGTCTAGAAGGAAACACAAGTCATGAACTGCGGTGATTTCTTGATAGTGAGATTATAGGTGATTTTTTTTCCAACTTTTCTTGTATTTTCCATATTTTCTGCTATGAAAGATGCACTAAAGACCTTTCCTTGGTGCCAGTTTGGGCTGGTTTGGGCTGCCTCTCAGGACAAGTGTGGGGGTGTTTGGTATAGGTGAAAGGGGCAGGTGGGCTTGGGAAGTGCTCTATGAAGACAAGGGAACTCTAGTGCCAAGTAAAAGCAAAGCTCTGTTCCTGGCCCCAGATGCTAATCCTCTTGGTCTCTGTGGTTGGGGTGGGATGGTGCAGGAGAGGGACCTGTTCCCAGCCACATTCTTTCCCACTCAGGGGAGTCTCCTCTTGACCCAGCCAGGCAAGCTTTCAACCTTAGGATTCTTGTGAATTTCAGCATCCTGATGGGTCCTAGGGAAGGAATTTCAAGACAACACTGAATTTTGTTCTTTCTCCCTGAGGAGGTCCCTTATACCTCCCACAACGTTAGGCTGTTTTGTCTCCAGGTGGCTCTCAACTGCCTTAAATTCCTTCAAAGATTTCTTCTTCACAAAGCAAAGAAAGTGGGTCGTGTAGCACAACAGGTTCATCAGACCGTCCTGAATCTGAACCCTGCCTGTGACACTTTGGAGCAAGCTATGTCACCTTAATTCTCATTCTTATTGTTCATCATGGATGCCACATTCCCCCCTTCCCTTCCTTTCTTATTCCTTTTCTTTCCTTTTATTGTGGTACTGGGAACTGAACCCAGGGCCTATGCACTGAACTACATTTCCACCTCTTTTATTTTTCATCTTAGGCAGGGTCTTGCTAAGCTGCTAAGTGGCCCGCACAAGGCCCAATCAGCCCTCCTGCCTCAGCCTTGCAGAATGTTGTGGCCATGCTGTTGATGGAGGAAGAATTAACTCTCCACCTGTTAGGTGTCAAACATGCCAAAGCCATGGTCTCAAAATATGAATGAATGAAGTCGCAAACCAAAGAAGAAATCAGGAGAGTTTCACTTAAAATAAAGGGAAGGAAAATAGTCTGTGGCTTTCCAGGAGGGGTCCCAAATGGGTGGTCACCAAGCCCTTTGTCAAGGGTTTTTATACAGCAAAATCACAATGTGGGTACGATGTAGCTCAGACTAGAATCAACCTTTAGGAGTACATATACAGCTGCTTAGCTAGTATTGATCTGGTAGGAAGCAAGTCCCATAGCAAGTGTTCTTGGCAAGATCGAAAGCCTTTTGGGGAGGGAGGAGCATTTGGGGCTAGGGGTTCTGGGCACCCACCTATGTGCCTGATGCCTGTCTGGGCCCACTGGGCCAGGGGTGCTAATTATAGTGTAATTGCTAATTGCTGCTTAGCTCTTTGGCCTGGCCTGACTATTGCCTCTCCATCCTGAGGCCTGGATCCCTTCAGATTTCTCTTGAGCCAAGTTCTGATGTCAGTTTTTGAGCTGACATCTTTGTGGGCCCAGTCCTTCTCTGACTATGTATTAATTTCTGTCTAACTTAGCAGCCTGTAATAGCATCATGTGGGAACATGCCCATTTCCTGGTTGGCCACTCTATACCTGCCTTGGTTCTGAGATTATCCTTCATTCTCAGGACTCACGTTACCTATTTGGAAAGGTTTCTGGGAAGATTAAAGAGAGGAATATACAAATTTTAATACATGACACATATCAGATAAATTGCAATTATTATTATTTTATAATTTATTGTTAATATTTTTAAAACTATTATTTATTTTATTTATTTTATATTTGTGTGTGTGTGTGTGTGTGTGTGTGTGTGTGTGGCCAGCTCAGCCCACCAGGGGGCGGGGCTGGCTGGCATGTGGTGCTGGGGGATTGAACCGTGGTCCCTGTGCTTTGCTAAGCTTGTTCTAAGTAGGTGCTTTAGACCACTGAGCCATCTCACCAGCCCCATGCAATTATTATTAAATTATTGCTAGCCCACCATATTTCTCTGGCCTGTTGTCTGCTTTGTCTGTCAAGGTCAGATGACTCAGATCTCACAGTGAGCAGCTGACATTTGCCCAACATCTGTGCAACGTGGTGTGGTGGCAGTGACACATGACGGTGTCACACAGACAGTCATCAAGTCTGTCAGCTCTTGAAGGAAGTGCCAGTTCCCTCTGTGGCTCACTCCCTTTCGCTCTGCGGTGAGCCGCCCTCCTTTCTCCTTTCCTCAGCACCTGTATTCTCTGGATTTCTGGAGCTTCTTTCCCTGAGGCTGCCTTGTGACCTGGTACGGTGCCAAGCTGACGTCCTCACACAGCCTGTCCTTCAGGACGTGCTCCCCTCCAAAGACTTCCAAGTGTCCTTCCTTCTCCCACGTCTAAACCTTTCATCTTTCATCTAGTATTTCTGCCTCTGTCCTGGCCACGATAATGCCCAGTACCTGGTGCTCAGGGCTCTCAGAGCCCAGTTTTACAATGCTTGCCCCCTGCTTTCCTAGCAGCTGGCTGTCCCTAATCTGAGCCCACCCCTGACAATCCCTGCCCTTGGCCTTTGCTTGTGACTTGCTGCCTTTCTGAAATCCTTCTCACCCTGTGTTCCATCCCCAGTTTCACCCCACGATCCTGCCCATGTCTCTCCTCTGGACCAAGTTGGGACTCTTCTCACACTTACTGGAGCACTTAATTATGTCTTGTGGGTTCGCCTGTGACAGTATCTGACATTGCAAGGGTGCAAAATGAGCATTTGTTGATCTATTTAAAAGGTTGTATGTTCAAAGTGGTGTGATGCCTTAAAGCTTAGTTCAGAAAGAAAGACAGCAAATTATACTCCCCCTGCTCACAAAAAGTACCATGGAAGCAGTTGGCTCAGAAGAGTATGAATGTAAATATTACTGCATTCAATATTTCTTTCCCTGATATCAAAGCAAGCTCAGAAAACCTGTTCTAAAATGCTGCCTGGGCTACTGCTATCTGTTAGGATCTGCCAAGCCATTTATATGTGGCTTATCAATGCTGACCCAAGGCTAAGATATAAAAGGATTTCAAAACCAATATAAGGAAAGGTATCGGCCTAGGGGGCATTTGCTTGGAGTCCTCAGAAGTTTCCAGCCCTGGCAAGGACACTCTGCAAGGCGTTGTGGAGCCTGCCGTGGATCATAGGCGAGGAGTCGGACCTGGCTCTTTTGGTACCTGAAGACTGAGGATGTTGACCCTCGCCTGGAGGTGTTCCTGCGGTGAGAGGACCACAGAGCTCTTGCACACTCGTGTTCCGTGCGGGCCCCTGACCCTGCATAGCGTGTGTAGGCATTCAACGCAACCTGCGTTCTTTCCCTCTTTTCCCTTTTCCTGGCCCCACCAGGCACCTCTGCTGCTGCTGTAAGCATTCTTTTACCCATGTCTTCCTTCTCTTGTCTCCTTCCTTTCCAAAGCCTCCCATATCTCCATGGTAGCTTCACACAATAGCCTTCTCTTTCTCGTATTTTAATAGCAAAATTCATTTTGTGACATATGATCTTCCATCAGAGATCTGTAATGTCTTGTGTTATTAT